GCTTTTAAGATTCTCTCTTTGTCTTTGACTTTTGGTATTTTAATTATGATGTGTCTTGGTGTGGATCTGAATTCCTCCTATTTGGGACTCTTCATGCCTCCTGAACTTGTATGTCTAATTCCTTTGCCAGGTTAGGAAAGTTTTCTTTCATTATTTCTTCAAATGGATTCTCAATCCCTTGCTTTCTCTCTTCCCCTTCAGGTATTCCTATGATCGGGATATTGTTACGCATCATGTTGTCCCAGAGGTCTCTTAAATTATCCTCATTTTTTAAAAATTATTATTATTTTTTTTATTGTTCTGATTGGGTGATTTCTGCTACTTGTCTTCCAGTTCACGAATTCGATCTTCTGCTTCATCCAATCTACTGTTGAATCCTTCTAGTATATTCTTCATTTCAGTTATTGTATTCTTCATTTCTGACTAGTTCTTTTATATGGTTTCTATGCCCTTTTTTATGCTTACTGTCTCTGTTGATGTTCTCATTGTGCTCATCCATTCTCTCCATAAGTTTGCTGAGCATCCTTGTAACCATTATTTTGAATTCTGTCTCTGTTATGTTGCTTGCCTCCATATCATTTAGCTTATATTCTAGAGTTTTTTCCTGTTGTTACATTTGTGACATGTTTCTTTATTTTCTTGTTTTATTAGTCTCTCTATATTCTTTTCTATGTGTCAGGAATATTTGTTTCATCACTCAGCCTTGGCCAGATGGCCTAATGTGGAAGGTGTCCTGTGTGGCCCAGTGGCATACTTTCCATGATCCCCTGTGCTGGAGGCTCTGGACATTATCTTTATGTAGGTTGTGTGTGATCTTCTGTTGTTGCCAAGCCTTTATTGTTGTCACCAAGCCTTTATTGTTGTTAGTACATCAGTAGATAGGATTAACGCTCAGCCTGACTAATTGTGGGAATTGGCTGCACTCACAGGGTAAAAGTTGCCATGTGCGGGCTGACCCTACTGAGTGGGATTTGCCCTAGCAGGCTTATGTACTTGTTGCAACCACTGTTTGCATGTACCACTAATGGGACTAATCAGGAGTTGCTCTGTTGTGGTCTGATGCCAGCCTCTGGATGTGTTGGTTTTATGGCCTCTTGGGAGGGGCTCCCCCATAGGCCAAGGTCAGTCACTGTTTTTGATTGCTCAGGGCTACCTGGCAGGAACTACAAAGCAATCTTCAGATGGTTGTTGCCTATGCTGGATCTATAGGTAAGTGGAAGAGACAATGCTATAGGCAGTGGTTGGTTATCTCTGTCCCTGACCTGGCACAGAGACCTAGGGAGTCTCCTGGGTCTATCGAGTAAATTTCCCCCTGCCACTGTCTCTGTAGCTCCCTGTAGAAGTTTCCAATCATAGCAAGGTCAGCTGCTGCCCACTATGGGCCTGAATGCGCCACCCCAGGGCAGGGGCACCTGCCTTTCAATGTGTGATGGGCACTTTGTGTATTGGATGGGGCAGGAGCTCAGAGAGTCAAGGGCTGTCAGGCCAATACAGACCCCTACAATCCCCTCAATAGATATTGCAGCTCGTACATGCAGTAGTGGTCTGTCCATAACTCTTTTACCTGAAATGCACTCACTGCACTAGACAAGGTCTGTTGCCTACACAGACTGCACAATCCCAGAGCCAAGCAAGGCACATGAGGCTGCCTGTCAATGAGCTGCAGGCACTTTGTCACTTGGATGAAGTGAGATCTCAGGGAGACAAGGGCCATCAGTCCCATATAACCTCAGTTTTGCTGCATGTTCTGTGCTCGGTCATTCCCAGTGTAGTCATAGATCACAATGAGACTAGCTGCTGTCTGGGGTGGTCCCACAGACCCCTGCACTCCCCAGACACAATATTGCAACCCCGGCAGGCAGCAGAGATTTGCCTGCCACTGATTTCCATGCAGTGTCTGCCCTGTGCTAGCCAAAGTTTGTTGCCCGTGTGGATTGAGAGATGCGGGGAGGGGCAAGGCTGTGGCAGTTCACTGTCAATGGGCCACCTGGGGCAATTTGTGGGTAGGGTGGGGCGGGGTCTTCAGAGAGACAATGACAGTCAGATTAATATAGCCTCAGTCTTGCTGCAACTTTGGTAACCCTTCACTCATTCTCGCAGAAGTCGCAGGTCACAGCAAGACCAGCTGCTGTGATCTTGCTGAGACTGGCCCACAGATCCCCTAGATCTGCCCAAGTTCATGTTGGCAGCAGTGATCTGCCTAACCCTATCTAGGAAATGTGTACTCACAGCACTGGCTGCCAGCTGTGAATGCTTGGCCCTGAATCCATGCAGGGTGCAGTAGCCATTCAGCAACAAAAGCCTTAGGCAATCTGCAGGTTGGATGGGGCGGGCTGAGCTCCTCAGGCCAGTGCTTCCTAATGGCCCTGTGGGAGGGGTCTGCACAGTCAAGCTGGTGCAGTCTGTAGATTGGCCGGCAGGGGGACCAGACTAAGGCACAATGGTGGCTGCCCTTCCAGCCCTCATTGTTGTACCAGGTAATGCAGACTTTCTCAGTATGAATCCTGTGGGAGACTCTGACCCACCTCCAGTGTCCCGGGTGAGTGTCTGCAGGTCAGAAAGCCTGTGTACGGGTCCTTCAAAGGAGTGTCTAGGGTTTCAGTCTCCTTCTGTCTCACCCAGACGGCCAGAATTCCCTCTGGTTTTACAGTCAGAGTTATTGGAATCTCCTCTTCCCTGGGCTGGGATCCTGGGCGGGGAGCCTCCAAATGAGACCAGGACCCCCCTCTCCTTCAGAAGAGCCTCTGCAGCCTCGCTCTCCCTCCCAATAATCTTCCACCACCCACAGGTGCAGGTCTAGCCCGATTTGCGACTTTGCCCCTCCTACCAGCTTCAATGTGGCTCCTTTATATTACCAGACATAGGTGTTACAATCAGCTGGACTTCAGGTGATTCTCCACATTCATTATTTTATAACTTATTTGTAATTTCAATGAGGACCTAGGAGGAAGTGAACCCTGCTTTTACCTAGTCTGCCATTTTCCTCTCAAATCCTAGTTTTCTTTCTTTTGCTCTTATCAAGATTGCATTTTATGTTTATGGTAGCTCCTAATGATGAATTAAGAAGTTCTCTACGCTCTTCTAATTTCTGAAACAATTCAAAAAATAAAGGGATTTTCTGACCATTGAAGGTTCAAAAGAATATGTCTTTAAATATATGTATATGTATGCATATGCACACATACACACACACACACACACACACACACACACACACACACACACGCGCACGGTCAGTCCCAGTTTCAATTTCGAATATAGTCCTTTCTCTTCAAAGTTTTCTAGTTTACATTATAGTTGTCTATTTAAGTTTTCTGCTTCTTGAATAGATTTGAATAATTCATATTTTGCCAGAATACTTACAATTCATTAAGATATTTAATTTTTAACATTGATCTGAAAATAGCATTCTCATGTAATATTTTCATCGATTTTCATATCTGAGGATACTCACTGCCTGCCAATATGACCAAATCTTTTCACTAGAGCTTCTAGGGCCAACTTTAAGTGAGGATAGTACTTGGTCAGGCACCTCTGTGTTGACAATTTCTCTCCTCAGCTCTGGGTGGTCTCAGTCATCTCTACATGGATGACAACAACCCCATCATCATGTTAGTAGCACCAATTGTAATGCCTTAGTCTAGTTAGAGCAGGTAAGCCTTTATTGGAGTGAACTGTATTTTTATACACAGAATCGTAGATACCATATTGGAGACCAGGGTTGGTCAGGAAAGAGCAATGAGGGAGCACCCTGGCCTCAAGAACTCTAAGATGTTTGATTATCCTATGATCCTCATCCACAGTGACCCATAGTACCTTTAGTGAGGTTCTACTCACCTCAAGTCTCTTCAGACTCAATAATATTTACATGTTATTTCATGCCAAAAGAATTGACTACTTCAAACACGACAATTTGAAATACTATTTATAATCACACTTATGCTACAGGAGCAGATAATCTATTCATTTTAACATTTTTTTTTTAAATGGCAGCATAGAGTAGGACATCTTTTAGTCTAAAAAGAGCCTCATGGAAAGTGGAAGAGATGGGTTAGTTGAGAATTTCAATTGGAAGGATCACAACTAAGTCTATGCTTAGATGAAAATCTAGTTTGATAGGAAGAGACCAGAGAGACATCAATTTTGGTGCCAGAGATTGGCAAGGTTGACATGGTGGAGAAACCAATATATTAGACCAGGCAAACAAGCTGTTTAGAAGCAGGGCAATGATGAGATCAACCTTCAGAGAGCCTTCACATTCAGCTATGCAAGTTACCAGCAAAAATTCCAGGAAGTTATTTTCCCCAAAAAGGATTTGAATCAGTAAAGGCCCTTATGTGTGGAGGTGGCCAGGCTATGTGACAAATTTTTTCTAGCAGAGACTTTGTCCTTTGTTTGTATGTGGCTGGCCTGGCAATATTAAATGGCAATGTAGGCTCAGCTTATTGCTTATCAGAATGTGATCCCATGTGATTCTTCCCACTGACTGTAAACCCAACTGCCATGTGTGTTTCATACTCAAATCCTCCAATTCCCAACATAGTATCAAACACACATTAACTTGCAGGTAGTATCTCTAGAATGCTTGAAGAGGTAAGGATGCACAGTTCAGAAAACTTTCTATGTCCTTGGGTTCAAGTCCTCCTCAGATTGTGGGCTGTGTATCCAGGGTTCCAGAATTCTCCTTCACCAGTATTTCTCTTTTCTTGGCTTCTTAGACTCTCAGATCTGAGAAGAGGATCCTGGCAAAATGACTCTATTCTGGTACTTGGAGGAGAGAAAGATTCTTTTAATACATATCAAATACATAAGCACTGTTTTTGGTAAAGAATAAGGAGAAGGAGAATGGGCGCCTCCTTTGTGTCATCAATTGGCAAATTCCTTAAGTGGTTTAAAATGGGTACTACAAAGAAACACATAAAATAAAAATACAAATTAATATACTTAACAATGTAAATTTCTATATATTCTTAAATCTCTCTGTCTTGTCTGTGTTCCAGGTTTAGGTTTAGTGGTCGTATCCTAGGTCTGGCTTTGATACATCAATACCTTCTTGACGCCTTCTTCACAAGACCCTTCTATAAGGCACTCCTGAGACTGTAAGTGTATTACAAGTCACAATCCATCCAGTCTCACCTGCAGGATAACAAGTGCTGGCCTTCCTAAAAAAGAGCCAGGGACCTCTGGCTCTTTTGTCCCTGTTTTGCCTAAGCATTCCTATGAAGTTTATGGTGGTTTACTTTTCTGAGTGCTTAGATATCTCATAAATATTTAAATGCAATAAAAATGCATTTGGAGATTTTATTTATGCACAAAGAAGAGTATTATAACAGCATACAGTAGATATAAATTAGTTTATATAAACAATTATAGTAACATTACAAACATTTCATTAAACTAATAGAATTGATTCATCTAAACCTTAGTTGTTTTAAAATGATACTTTTTTCAATTATGAAAAATTCATGAGTTGATAATTATTTTATGTTTATTATTGTAGATATTTTAATATTTTCTTTTTAAAAGAGAAAATATATTCAAAAATATCAAATTATTAGAATAAGTCCGTGTTGGTTTAGCTAGGAGTTGTATAAAAACATTTTGGAATGAGATCTAGGCAGCCATTCATTTAACCTTTCTCCATTTAAATGGCCCCAGGCCCTGCGATTTGAGCGACTTGGAATATTTGGATGAAGAATTCCACCAGAGCTTGCAATGGATGAAGGACAACAACATCACAGATATCCTAGACCTCACTTTCACCGTTAATGAAGAGGTCTTTGGACAGGTTTGTGAGATGTGGAGCTTGCAAAATAGATTTTATTTTTTAATATGGAAAATTAACATAACATAAAATTTACCATTTTAACAACTTTTAAGCATATAGGTAAGTGCATTGACATTGTTGTGCAACCAGTCTCCAGAACTTTTTCATCTATAAAACTGAAATTATACCCATTAAACAACAACTCCCCCATTTCTCTCTCTTCTCAGCCCCTTGCAAACACTATTCTACTTTCTCTTTCTATGAATTTGGCTACACTAGTTACCTCATATAAGTGGAATTATACAGTATTTTTGTTTGTGTGACTAGCTTGTTTAACTTGGCAAAATGTTCTCAAGCTTCGTCCATATTATAACAGGTGACAGTATTTTCTTCTTTTTGAGGGCTGAACAATATTCTACTGTATGTATAGACCACATTTTGTTTATCCATTTATCTGTTGATGAATACTTGGGTCACTTCCACCTTCTGGCTACAGTGTACAATGCTTCTATGAAATAGGTGTACAAATATCTGTCTGAGTTCCTGCTTTCAATTCTTTTGGATATATTCCCAGAAGTGAAAATGCTGGATCATAGAGTAATGGGATTTTGTTTTTAAACTAGAAAACAAAAAATATTATTTATTCAAAGTATAATTCTTTAATAAGGCTGCCCATTTCTTCCTTCTTTTTATTGTTATGACATGGGTTTACTTTATAGAGATTTTTGAAAATCAAGTTGTGATAATGGATCAGAAAGCATTTTTGTAAACTGTGCAATACATTTGTAAAGTGTGCAATGCATATGTAAAGTATTTCTGTTATCTGTACAACTACAAAAATACTTCATTTTGTAACTAACATCTAGACATTTACTCCTCCAAAATGCCTATATTTTAATACTATTTAATAAGATAAAGCTTCTCATTTATTTTCCACTATCATTTATGTAACAATGAATCTTCTTGGTTACAGTTTAATCTCGTTAACCATAGCTTGAGCAGATTTAACAATTAAGGTTTTGAGAACATTATTTATAAGAGATCCCAAAAGCCTGTGACATGTGGTAATTTATAATAGAGTTGTTTTGAGAATTATGTTGGAATACTTTATAAGTACCTTGCATGAATGTGGACAGTGTGCCAAGTCTATTGATGAGCAACACACTTAACTTCGCAGACCACCCAGCACTGACATCTCAATTAAGAATCTTGGACAAGTCCTGGAAAGTGTCAATATTCTGTTGTATTTGTTTTGTATAAACATACCTTTGAAGAATACTCTCTTACATATTTGAGGGGAAAATTACTTCTTCCTACAACTATAGGAAACACATTTAAATACACTCAAGAATATATGATTCACTTACCTGTCCTGCCATGTGTAAAATATGCTATTCTTTGTGCATGACAGCTTTTAGACCATGACTATATTTGCCCTATAGTGGAGGGTAAATTTGTAAAATAAACACAATTTCTTAGAAAACTGTATTAAAACAACTGGATAGCCATCTTAAATTTTTTAAGTTAGAACCATGACCTAATTCTTTACAGTAAAATAAACTCCACCTGGATCAGAAAGCTGAACGTAAAAACAAATTATAAGAAGAAAACAAGCTAATTCTTTTAAATTTTTTAACAAGGAATGCTGCTGTAGATGTGACACAGACTTTCAAAATCATAAAAGAAAAGATTGACATAGTCGACTAAGATTATTTCTCTAACTATGCATGGCAAAAATACAGCATAAACAAAGTAAAAATGGCATAATATTAATATGTTGTAATGTGTAACACAGACAAAATTCTATTTCTTTTAATAAAGGAAGAGATCTCATAGATCAATAAAAAATTATCAACAACACAATAGAAAATTAGCAAAGAATATAAATAAATAGTTCTCAGAAAAGAAAATATAAAGAAATACTGAGCCTCTTTCAAAATTTTTAAAAATGTAAATTAAAGCTATTATGAGATATCATTTTCCCTTACAAGAATGTCAAGAATCAGAAAGTTTAGCAGTATTCTATTTTGGAGATGGTATAGAGAAAAAGGCATCTTGAACATTGTAGGTTGAAGTAAATAGAAGTTTAGTTAACTCTATGAAAAACACCTCTGTGATATCTATCTGCATTTAAATGCATCTGTCTTTGACCCAACAGCCATATCTAGGAATTTTCCTACAAATATTTTCACACCTAATTGAAATGCCTAATGTATTAGCATCTTTGCTGCAGCATTGTTGATAACTGCAAAAGATCTGAAACAATCTAAATGTTTAGCAGTAGAGCTTTCGTTAAATAAGTTATGATACATTCACACAATGGAATAGTAGACTAGTGGGATGCGTGGCTATTAAAAAGTTTAAGATATCCCAGGGAATCAATTCTCATATAAATCATAAACAATAAAGAGAGTATTATAAGACAAACAAAGAAAGAATAAGAGGTTTAAATTCATATGAAACAATTGTCAAGATATATTTTCAGGTGAAAAAGTTTGGTGAAGAACTGTGTATAATATGTCACCATTTATAGGAGAAAAGAAATGATATATTCATATTTCCTAGTATATACATAGAATCTCCCTGGAGGGGAAGTAAAGGTGAATTTCTCCAGGTAGGAAGATTGTATTGGCTGAGAGGAGGTGGGAGAAAAACTTACTTTTCATTTTATGGTCTTTTATACCACTTGAATTTTATTCCATAGACACATATTATATACACAAAATATAAAGTAATAGACAGACCTGAAGCTTACACTCAGCAAGGAGGTTTTCTGTTTTAAATACTATGCACACGAATAATTTTGAACAATAAAAGTTGAAGGTCTAGAATCAAAAAGTGAAGTAAATTACAAATAACTAAATACGAAAAAATTAGAGGAAAAAAATAGCATTGAAAACACAAAAGAACAATTCTTCACATGTACATATTGTAGGAACTGAATAAATCAGAGAAAAGTTCAAAATGTTCCCAGTGATCAAAATAAGGATATTTTGATAGTAAGGTCAAGATGGCAGAGTAGGTAAATGTTGTGCTTGCCTCCTCTCATGACCACATTAAAAGTGCAGCTAAATTATAGGACAGTCAGTTTGGAGAAGTACCTGAAGACTGTAACTGGGGATATAAAGAAGAAGCTATGTCCAGACTGGTAGAAAGAACAGAGACATGGAATGGGATGGTCCAATACCCATGTGTGGCAGTTGAGCATCAAGAGGGATATCTTCACTGCAGAGGTCCCCTTGGAGGAGCAAGAGGCCCCAACCCCACACTGGGGCTCCACAACTCAGAGTTCCAGTGTCAGGAAGAGGTGTCCCCATAAAATCTGGCTGTGAGTATTAGTAAAGATTCTGACTGTCAGGGTAAGACAAAAGACAGCTGGAAACCCAGGCATCCTCCTAAAGACCCCACACACAGACTCATTCACTTGCAAGCACTCACCCTAGGCTTCAGCAGAGGGACAGCAGCTCAGGAGGCATCAGAGAAGCCTGAGTTGTGTGACTTTAAGGTGAGGGCTGGAGGGACAGCCACCATTGTTCGTTTGTTGAGCCCTCCTCCTGTGCAGCTTACAAGCAAGTGCCATTTTGACTGAATTGAGCCCTCCTGGCACACAGCCAAATCCAAATCTGCATTGGCATGGTGATACCTGATCACTCCATCCTGGTAACTCCCTGAGACTCCAATATACCCAACTAGAAAATTACTGATGGCAATTTCATTGCTAGGCAACAAGCCCCACCCTATACTCTGCAAAAGAAACTCCTTTGGCAGCAATCGAAAGCCTTGGCCCGCACACCTCAAGAGACACTTTTAGTGGCAGACAAACAGCCCAGGCCCAAGCTGCAGTATTTCTTGAATGAATCTTGAAGGTCTGCAGGTCCAAAGCAGGAAACAGATGGCCTCAGTGTGATCAGAGACTTTTGCAAGTGGCCACAAGCTCAGCACGGGCTTCAAATATGAACCTGCACTAACCTGAGGAACATCACTTGCCCTACCCTGGTGACTCTCTGAGACTCCACTTCATCCAACTCACATACTACCCAAGGCTTTTTCAGCTACTAAACCTACAGGAAGCCTCAAGGATTGGGATGCCCTGGACTTTTGCTGAGCTACCCCAACCTAGCGCTGGTGGCAGCCATCCTTGGTTCACTACGTGACCTCTCCTATGTGCCCCCTGTTCCAGCATATGCAACAACCAAGCTCAGATATCTTCTTAGCTCCTGTCAGGTAGCCCCAGGTCAGTCACAAGCAGCAGCTGACTTTGTTAGTACAAATACACAAACATACCCAAAGGCTGGCATTAAATCTGAATGGAATATCCCTTATTAGCCCCACAAGGTGCACATGCAAATGGTGGACTCAACAGGCAAACGAGCTTACTGGGGCAAATCCCATTTCATAAGATCAACTCTTACACAGCAGCTCATAAACTATAGGCATGGCCAATCCTCACCGCCAGTCAGCCTGAGAGTTAATCTGATGCAATGCTATGTCAACAGCAATCAAGACTCAACTACAACAGGAGGGTGCACATGACCCACACAAGGGACACTCCTGGAGCACACGGCAGAGATGAGCAGGGAGACTGCACCACTGGGCTAAACAGGGCACCTACTACATAAAAGCACCCAGCTAAGACTGGAAAATATAGTAGGTCTACCTAATATATAGAAACAAGCACAGAGAGGTAGTCAAATAAGAAAACAAAGAAAAATGTTTCAAATGAAAGAACAAGACAAAACTCCAGAAAAGGAATTTTGAAAAATGGAGTCAAGTAACATACCAGAAACAGAGTTCAAAACACTGGTTATAAGGATGCTCAATAAATTTAGAGGAAGAATAGGTGAATTCAGTGAGAACTTCAATGAAGAAGGGTAAGCATAAAAAACTTATAAGCTATAAAAAGAAAAACAGTCAGAAATGGAGAATACAATAACTGAAATGAAGAATACACTAGAAGGAATCAACAGTGGATTAAATGAAGCAGAGGAGCAACCAGCAATTTAGAAGGCAAGGTAACAAAC